TAGCGACGCGAGTTTTCGCTTGGTCCAGTTTCGGCTTCGTCAATGATCGTCCGGACTCGAGCGCGACATTATTAAATGGCTCGCACTCGTGTTCGTTTAAGAGGAATGTTTGGCATCGATCGGACGGCGATAAGGCAAAACTGAAATCGGCTGCATGGACGTAATATGGCGGGGCCGTGTCTCGCGCGCGTTGACAAGAAAAGTAGATTATCGTTAAGCGTCTTGACTGGTGGCGATGGGAAGCGTTGGCCGAGCAGAGGTGAGCCCCGAGGCCGACCGCGGTGACGCTGTGATTCGAGACGCTTTCGGTGGGCTCAGTCGCGGCGGCGGCGACGATTATCGTAAATTACGAGGCTCGGGCAATCCTAACAACGGGACGCACATAATGCCTCGATCTCGCTCGAATACGTACTCGCGCAGTCATCACTATGTGAACTATGTCCACAGCGTAATATATATGCGTAATTGCGTATACGGCGGCACGGACACGAGACACCCGACACGCGTCCGTCCGCACATATATACAGGCGCGTGGGGCTCTCCCGCTGTAAACCTTGTAAATCACGCCTGCCGCTCACCAATGTATATATATCTGTGAGGAGCTGATCTATGTGCCGCTCGAGCACAGGAGATGCTCGTTCGATGCGTTTGACCGACACGGGCGGATGCGCAGGATTCCGGAAGTAGCCCAAAGAACCGGAACGAGACTCGGTCGCAGCTACTCGGCACACGCGCCACGCGCGCCAACCGCCGACGGCTTCGATTCGCGACTCGACTTTACTGGAGGCTCTGATCCAGTGTGGAATCGCGAGCCGAGTAGTTTGCGTTCCGATGCTCGCTTTTCGATTTATCTCGCCAAGCCGGCTCGAAATATTATACATATAAATGCGAGAATCGAGCGGGGGGGGCTTTTGTGTCGATGCTGCGCAACTCGTTGATCCGCGCCTGCACATTCATACGGAGCCACGCAGCCCCTTACTCATAAGCGCGTCTCATCATAATAACGAGGCTTTTTTAATAAGCGCCGGCGCGTCAAGAAAGATCGATGTGCGGAGCGATCTGTGCTGCGCGCTGCAGTCAGAGCCGGCCGCTGCAGCCTAAATCGCGCGCGCGCGCCAGCAGCCTTATAAATATGCAAATTCGCGCCCGTGATATAGGGACCGATCGGCCGATGTATGCATCGAGTCGACCTGCGCGCCACATGCTATACATAATGCAGCAGCAGCGATTATGAGCCGGAGTCTTACGAGTCTCGTGCTGAAAAACGACGCGAGCCCCGAAAAACCGAGAGACGAGAGAAAGCAAAGAAAAGCCCCGTCGACGGCGGCTTCAAGTAAAGGCTCCCTGTATTGACTGATGCGCTGCATATTTCGTCGATCGCGTGCGCGTCGTCTCTCCCGCTGGAGTCCGCGAGTACAGCAAACGGGTGGTCAGCGATCGGCCGGATTCCGATCGAAGCAGCGCAAAAACTTTTCATTTTTAGACCTATACCCAACGACGTGAGCTCACGTTTGTGGGAGGCACGCGACTGAAATCTTACAGAGCCCGGAATTCCGAGATTTCCAGCTCTATATCGCGCTCGTTATTGTAATTGAGTGATATGCATAAAAAACAAAAGCGAGCTATTACGGCGCATTACGGCTAATGGCCCATATTCTCATCTAATTTCATTCGCCTATTTCACAGCTATGTATGATGTTTCAAACGATTCCGGACAAGTGGGCAACTCCCCTCATTTATGGTTAGACGCGCGTTCAACCGCTCGAAGACCGAGGTCTCGCACGAGACTCGCGTGCCAAGCTTATGTACAAATTCTGTGGCCGCATACGCTGACCAAATTAACGAATTATTGTTAATTCAAGTCCAGCCTTTCGTAGATGCGCGTGTTGTTTATTGCAAGAGAAAGCCAATAGCGCTACTCTTTCTTCTCGTGTATGTGCTATTTCTTTTTGTGTAAGGATTACTGACTCGAAGCTCTGAGAATTGTCGATACCACTTTTTACCACGGAAAACCATCAAGTGTCGCCGAGGCTATCTCTTGATGAATTTATAGCTCTATTGCGACTGAAAGCCCATCGACGAGCAGCTTCTGTGATTCTTCTGCTTACAACTGTTTACTTTATTTCAATTACACATATAAATTTTATCGCTGTTCACGATCTGTGTATCGAAACATTTAGTGGGCGTTTGAAATTCAAAGTAACTAATACTTCCGAAGCTTCAGTGTACTTTCTAAGTCTATTATACATGTACGGAAATTAATTAAATTGTGGTTTACACTTCATCGAAGTACTCAATAGCTACTCGATAGCATATCATGAATATTAATTTTGACCGCCTGTTTCTACGTCAACATTGGATATATTTCGGTCATAAATCAGCACATGCATATTGAATTTCAATCCGATTTAACATCTTTTAAAAATTCAGTCGTATCTGCATTCGATTAAATGCGTGCTAACAGCACACATTGCAATCGCATGTAAACATAGAGGCGGTGTCAGGAAAATAGGCACTCGTATTGAAACGTAGACACTTGAAATCGATGCGAGAAGCGCAGCGTCGTTTTCTTTTTCCGATAAAAGTATAAACTTCTCGTGTGCGTCTCGCGGGGTCAGTTTTTGCTCGTTCGACCGCCGCTAGCGAAGCTGCGCAGTTTTGCCAATTGACAGATGAAGAAGAATTGCCGGGCTCTACCGCGGATACTGCATTCATACATAAAGTCAAACACCGAGGCGCAGTCCGCATTGCTACATTTGCGCGATATCTCAAGATGAGATGCTGCCGATCGATCGGGAGAGACATATTTATTGCCCCGCAGTCCTTTATAACTCGGACGTGGAGCCAAAAGCTTTATAAGTGCAGGCAGGCAATATCTCGACATCAATATGGTATTCCGCGTTCGCGCTCGAAACTTTTTTTACCCCTCTATTTATTTATAAATCTGTCGATGGGTGCGCGCGAGTCGAGCCAGCCAGACGGCCGGACTCTCGTCACGGATGATAGATAGCGAAATTATGATCGCCGTAAGCTTTTAATTGCGATTCGTTGGCGTTTAGCTGCGGCGGTCCGATTCGACGTTCGCTAGTTGCGCCAAATGCGATCGCGCGCAGATTTTCCTCGTCGCGATCAACAACGCACGAATCTCAGTCGAGCAAAAGACGGTTGGTGGGACTTTTTGTCCGAGACGCATAAGATCATCGGCTTTTTATCGGGCAGCGATCGACTCGCTCGACCGACGATCCATCGTTATTTTATTCGGATGATCGTTGGCACTCGCGGACTGCGAGTCGAGTGCAGCTGGCGCGAGCAAAGTCAAAGCCGACGGCTACGATATAACACGCAATATACATGTAGGCTGCTATATAACGCGCGTAGGTGGTGCAGGCAGCAGTTGGCAGTTGGCACTTGCGGCGCACGTGCAGATATCGGCCTTGCGTCGAGGCCAACAACAAAAACTGCCTACGACGCTGTCGTGGACAGGGGACGACGTCGTCGGTGCCACCCCCGCGATCAGCCAGACAAACGTACGTACGAGGAGCGCGCACGTAGGAGGAGTAGATCGTCGACTCGGCCATCCCGGCAAATATCTCTGGAGCTGACAGCTTCTGGCCCCTCGAGCTCGCTCCTGCGCCTGTATAACGTCGCATATGGCTTTGGCTTCTATCGGCTGCTAACGTGCGACTACTGTTTTGCGTCTGCTTTCCTGCCTGGCGCATATTCTATCGCTGCTTTCGTGGAGCATCAGCTCGCCTACGATCGATAATGTCCACGCGAGCCTCCGCTTGTCCTTCAAAGGCCTTTAAACGCCGCCTGCCTGTTTACGTGTGTCTAAAGGCGACCCTTCGCCAAGCTCATTTTCTACCGATGTACTTTTCATCCGTCCCGTGCGTCGACTGCTTTATGGCTTGCGAAATTCGCAAACGCGCATAATGCGAGCCTCGCTGTATATCGAGGCGAATCACGCGAATTATTAGCGCTGGGCAGTTTGTAAGTCAATTTCATCGTACCGCAGCCTATATATCCGTAATGAGGCACGGCGTCATTCGTAGCGGCTCGCAGGAGCGCTTCATCATTCCGAGTCCGAAGATAAATTCAATAAATAATACCGCTGCGTTTGCTCGACGCTCGCGCAAGCCTACCTCCTAGCATGAGAAGCATAAAGTTTACTTTTTTTCACTCTAATTGACCAGTAGGATGAATGGCCGTGCGCGTTGCGTTTGCACTTTTACGGCTTGCAAATCAAAATTACCTAGAGCATTGCCGACTGCCGAAGCTCTTTAATTGACCCGAGCTTCTTCGAGATAAGAGTAAGCCTAACTCACCGCCCGATATCTTATTATGATTACATTTAACGCAATCGATCAATTCTCGTCATTTATGTGGAATTTACTTTGCTGGAATACAATTTTACTGTTACAATCAACCAAAGTACTTGGACAAAGGTCGCGGGGTTTAATAGATGCGAAGAAAGATCCAATCCCAACTTTTAATTTTGAGTATGTGACTTGACGAGTTTTGTCGCAATTTCCTACTTCGCAGTACGTATGCGTTTATACTTGTATGTTATAGGTTCATAATCATTTTCTCTACAAGGATACATTTGCAGTCATTTTTTTAGCGATAACGACTAATTTTTGAATAATGTTAAAAATGTTGTTAAGTTATCGCGAGTACAGGAATTAGTTGTAGCATGCAGCGTTCAAGAATAATTCTAGTTTCGAGTATATACTATCAGCATACAAGTAAGAATATACTTGTCAAAATATTAAACTGATTAACAGGTAATTGAAAATCGATTCAACAGCGATAATCAAAAAAAATAGATTAATAACGAAAACGTGGTTTTTGTAGTTAATGTAGGAGAGGTCAGTAAAAGATTTTTCGCAGTCACAAAAAAATGAATAACTTGAAATACTTTATTGTTTTTAACGAAATTAAACGATATTTATGTGAAAGATCATCGAAAATCGCGTTACATGGTCATGTGATTGTAGAATTCTTCACTGCATCCAAATCTCCCGTGAATAATCTTACGCTTTTAAGGTCTATCATGCACTGCATTAATATCGCTTTTGAATAAGTGTTACAATGGACAGGTTTTCTTCAATCGTGTACTGTCGTTATGTGCATTTTGAATAAATTTTAGTTTCCAAATGATTTAAGATAAATTTCACATTCTGAGGGTTACTACGGTCGTGAACTATATTTATGTGCGATTTGAGTTTATGCTTACGGCCAAATGATTTTAGACAAATTTCACATTTAAAGGGTTTAATACGATCATGTACCGTCCTGACGTGTCTCTTGAGGCTACTTATTCGTCCAAATGATTTATGGCAAATATTACATTCAAAGGGCTTGCTTCGATCATGTAGAGCATTTTTTTTCATTCTTATATTCTTCAAAATTTAGTCGGGACTTTTCTTTAAATTGACAGTTACTATCGTAGTCGAAGCCTTTTTTAACCAAAATTATATGATTTTTTCCATTCAAGTAATTATTAATCTGAACTTGGTTTTCTATTTTTACAATAGGTAAGCAACTTTTATACTCAGTTTTGAAGATTCTTGTCAATAGAGATGACGGCTCAGGTTTAACATATTTGCACTCAAAATCTACAAATATTTTGATTTTTAAATTTTCCTGCAAAGACATGGCCGCATTCACCATTCAAATTCCATAAAAAAAGTAATTTTAGTTATACAATCCAGATTTTAATTTGTTTTTTTAAATTAATCGTGTTACAGTTTATGGATGTACATTTGATGCCTGTAATTTAAATTAAACCCTTACATATATCAACCTAGAACCAATTATTTCTCTTCGCTAACTTTAACAACGGAATTACTAGCCGCCAAGTGATAAACATTATTGCTATAATGAGGAATATTATGAATCCACTCACAGAGAAACGATTTTTATCGTCATTTTTTGATTTAAACTCTTTGTATTTTAAATCAATAAGCTGAAATATTGAAGATTTTTAAAAAATAAGTTTGAAAATTCAAATTCGTTTAGAATTCATTTATGGACTCTTACCAATTTAAAGATTTTATCAGCTTCATCGTTGTATCCAAGTTTTTTTTCTTTTTCAAAGTATTGAATTGCTTGCTTGTAGCAAATGTCATGTGCTGATTGGAATTTCTTGTTTTTCAAGTAAGATTTCTTAGGTCCGCAAAAGGTATTCATCAAATTTTCGTATTCAACCACAGCTTGTCGCGTTGCAGTTGCATTATATTTTGTCTATATAAAATGGAATAATATTTAAATTCGTTTTTTTTTTTACAAAAAAAGGGTTTTATAAAGTAAACTCACGTTCAAACTATTTTTAAATAAAATATAATCCAGTTCTTGATAGAATTTCACGCCTTTTTTGAAATCTTCAAGTAGTGTAGCGGCAGTGTACTTTAGGTCAATCTTTTTCGTGTCAAGGTTTTCTCGTGCCAACAACATCGGAACCAAATTTTTAATCTGTTGTTTATAATCGTTTCTCAAATCCGATAAGAGACCATTGACCTTGATATCTTGAGCGGGGTTAGAGACAAAATGCGGCATAAGAAAGCAAGAATATTCAGAAAAATTAGATTCCAGTTTTTCTTTAAGGCAAAGCAGCTCTGGATCTTGGATGTTTGCATTTCCAAAAGTTTGCAACAAATAATCACGACCTCCCTCGTTTCCATACTTGTATTCATGAGGGTAAGGCCAGTCACGTATGAGAAATTTCAATCTGACACAATAAAATTAATTATCTATATAGCTTCAGTAAATACTGAAATTAAATTGAAGAAACTGCATTAATAAGCAGTTAAAAAGTGTTTTACGAACCTCTGGAACAATATACGGTTGACATTTTCATGTGGAAGCTTAGCATATTCTATAACGAAGTGTAAATGCTGCAAAAATTTTTTGCGCATACATTCGGGCAAAAAGAAGAGCTGCATGGACGACAATGTTGTAGTCAATGCTAATGCGGAGGCACTAAGATGATCCATAATCGAATCACAATCGAAAAATCCCTTCGTGTTCATCAATAAGATAGCGACTTTTTCGCCATTCGTCAATTCGGTCTTGAACGCTTCGGACCACAATTGAATGCCAATTTCCGTATTATAATTTTCCCAGGAGGCGCCTTCGAGTGGTTGCATCTCGTCACTCATCCAATCTTTCGATCTATTTTCCAGTTTGTACTGTAAAATAGTTATGCATATCTCTTGAGTTATTGTTTTAACATTTTCAATAAGTACTCTAGACTCGTTCTTTTTTAAAAATATTTTCCAGTTGGTTTTAATCGTGCTGAGTCTTTTATTTTTCCATTGAAATCAACGGATTTTTTATTTTCATTTGTGACAAATCAACGTCAAATTTATTTAAAACATATGCATTTAAGCTAAGAGGCATGAAGATGCTTAGTTTCTATATTATAACATGATACATAGGTATATTTTTACCTCTAAGTTCAAAAAGATACCTTTATACCCAAGGGCGACAATATAGTGTAAAATTTTCATTTACTAAATATCTTTGAACGCAAAAAAAGTTTCTATAAAAAATAGTATATTACAGCGCTCTAACCTAAAAATCGCGACTTTGCCGCTAGCTTTATAGGTTCTTGTTCTATATGAAATATTGTATGCAACTAGGGTATAACGCCTATTACTGTGATCCAAACATAACCTTCAATACTCTATTACAAGAAATTTGATTACATGTAAAAGTCCAGTAGTATAGACGGGCAAAGTAATATGTGCACCTAACGTAGTACGAATAAACTTTTTCCATTACGATAAATTTTTTATTTAGATAATTTAAATGTAACATAAATTTCAATGATCCCGGAAAATGCTGGAAAATAGTTTAAATGACCCAGTACATATAATAAGTACGAATACTTACTTGACTGTTCATGTAACGCAAAAAAAAGTTGAGCATCAGGTCTTTGGACCTGTCGAAATATCCTGACATCGACACTATGATCAAGCGACGATCCTCCATGTCATCCTGAGTTAGTATTCGAATGAGAGATTCTTCGTCAAGTACAATCGAAGAATGATTGGGTGAAGTTTTTACTATCTCGATCGGGTGGCCCATTGTTTAAATGTAGCTGTGAAAAAAATATATAATTTTACGATCGTTTTAAAATTATTACTGCATTTTGTAAAACATGAATTAAAGCTTATGTACACAATTTACATACAATATTATACAGCACAAGAGTCTAAAACTAGCCGAAAAGTTAGGTTGGAGTGCTATAAAATACTTTAATGCCAAATTTGATCAGTAGCTTGCCTAAAGTTATTTTATCAAATTTAAAAATTGTCTTATTAATACTTGCAACTTTACAGTTAAAAGGTACTTAACTCACCAATTAAGTATTAATGTTATACAATTATGGATTGGTGGACAAAATCTCCAAACCAAAACCTCCAATCCAAAAGATCCAGACCGCAAGATCCAACGGCAAAAATAAGTCCAAAATCTAAAATATCCAAAAAGTCCAAAAATCCAAAAATTGTAGGCCCAAAAAATAAAATATCCCCAAGAAAAATAAAACAAAGATATGTATAAAAAAGTAATCTTTTATTAAAGGTGTAGGTAGTGGCCAAGGTCCTTGATATATTTAAGCTGCGAATCGTCCTCCACGCATTCATCATAACGCATCACGATGTTCATTATTCGATCCTTGACTGTGACGAAGTGACCATCGGGCTTTTTGCGAACAGCTTGGCCCAACTGAATTTGACGCAACAGTGTTTCGGTGTCGCCTTGTTCATGTTGCAGCTCCGTGAGGAAAGTATAAAGGCTCGGGTGTTTCTTGCCCACAATCACCTGGAACCGATTGTGCCAACCTTCTGACGCGTTATTTGTTCTTGCTGTAAAATCAAGCACTGCCTGATAATGATTCCATAGTACTGGTGCGTAACGGACTGCCACTGCCTTCGCTCTGCCTCTAGCTTTCTTCCCACGGACATACGTTCTCTATAATGATTTGATTTAAAAAAATTAAGTAAAAGAGATAACAAGTTAAGAATATACGACTTACCTCGAAATATGGTACAACTTTGATCCTAAAGACTTCAGGGGGTTAGGCAAATTAATTTTGGATATTTATTTTGTTGGACATCAGATAATTGGATCTTTTGTACCTTTGGACTTTTTTTTGAATTTTGGGTTTTGGATATTTTGGCATTGGAACTTTTGTTTTGGAGATTTTGTCTCCCTACCACAATTATGATATGATTGCGTCTTTTCTATCCGGCGTACTATAGTCTCGCCTAGGCAGATTATGGCCGTGAGAATCCCTGAGTTGATGAAGCCCTCAAAAGTGCAAGGAGAGAGAGGTAGGAGGAAAACAAAATACTTGGTCGCAGCTCTTATGACAAAGAGCTCTAAGACCTAAACAGAGAGTTGGGGAAGAAGTTCATCATAATCTGAAGTAGGAATCATGGGTATAGTTCTCAAAATGATCAAAAACTACAGTTATTTTACATTTCTTAACATTAGAACCGTATGTTAAGACTGCACATGCAAACCATGCGGTCTTATTATACGTCTGATTCGTATTTTTTTGAGTTGTTGAATGATATACTTGATGAACGAAATACTTGAAATATTGATTTACATTATTTTTTCGATTGCATTTAAAAATGTGTTAGCATTGCATAATTTTTGACGTAGTAAACCTAAAATTGGTAAAATTATTAAACAGTTATGATGATGCTCCATCACGAATTCTTTTTAATCAGACCTTGATGTACTATGATAAAAATTATTATTCAGAGAAAAATGACTTTAATAATAGGGAATAATCCTCCTGAATTTAGGGTAATGGCTCAGTCGTACAATAGCAGCAGCGATGATCATACAGCTTCATTTATATTTTATAATAATTGTTATTAGCATTATAGTATATCGTTTCAAATTCAATGCCGTGAGCATATCGAAGTTGTTTATGCCTTGAACATGAGTGTGAGTATAAGAACGCCCTTTACAATAAATAGCATGTTTCTATTCTTTCCATAACGTAGAGGCGCGTAACTCCAGACGCTAAGTACTTTTCAATCTGAAACATTTTTTCATGATACTCAAAAGTTTAATTTACGTCTACGTCTGACATAGGAAATGAAGTAATGCGATAAAATTGGTTAATTTTTCTTATTTCTGACGAATAGCCGCGATAGTGCAAGCTTGTTTCAATTAAACAAAAAAAAACACTATTTACTTTAAGTTACATAATATTAAGATATAATATATATCAACTATAGACATACAATAAAATCAAAAATTATATAAATGAACAATTATTGAGAACATAATTTTACGACTTACATTTTTAAATCGAAATATAATTAGTATTATAAGCATACGTGTACTGGACCGTGTCGCTGCATATCTTGAATCTAGTAAATTTGATTTGACTATTCGTGTTCCACACTTAAAAATAATTTTTTTCCTTCAAGATTAAAAATAAATTTTAATTTATATACGATTGTCCATGTACTTTAATAAACGAAAATATACAAGAACAAGATAGCAGTCCTAACTTCTTTGCGCTGCTTTTTCAAAAGATGATTTGTTAGACTAAATATTTTAGTTCCATGAAGCATTTTCACCCAACACTTGTAAATTTTAATTTGCGCCCGACGTACTATAGATAAATTCATATGTAGAATACTTATAAGGATCAGAATTGAAGCTATTCGTAGGGCTTTTTAGAACAATGACGAGTATGATAAGATTTAAATGAGAACGATAGGATGATTTGGTGGATCAGGGAATGTTAGCATGTAGGATGAGGCAGTGCTGCATCTCTGGTACCATATAGTTGGCCGATGGAGAGCGATGCGCGCTCCTCGATGGCAGGGGCATATTGGCACTACGGGGGTGCTCCTCGTTCGAGCCTTGTCGGTTCTCTCCTTCGTCCAGTTTCTCGCGATTACTACATGTGTACATCAATAATACCATGGGGAGAGAAAGAAAGAGGAAAAAAAGCTTCTTATATTTCTTCGCGAGTATAGATCTTCTCTTTCGTGTCACGAGTCTGCACGCGATATGCTTACAAGTTTGATTTAATACCATCGTTGTTATTGCTGAAGCTGCTGCCACTGCTTTTGCAGTGCCCATCGAAAGATGCTCTTGTATTATTATTTATGCCAGTGCGGGCTCCGTGAAAAAAAAAGAAAGAAAACAAAACAAATATGGGCTCTCCGGCTCCGTACATGTCGCTAGACCGCAATGACGCCGCACCAACACAAACAAGGAGCCTCATTGCTCTTGATTTATTCTTTGACAAAACTATTTCTCGAAAGTCCAGGCTCACTCTAATCGGAAATTTCCCTTTTCTCCGTTGACTTGCAGCTATTCTCGTATCTTTAAAATCTACTCGTATATCTATTTAGATTAAACGATATTGTCATCGCTTTCTCTAAACTGTGGTACTAAAGGCGACTTTATTGCTGCGTAACTCGAGTTGACACTGCCCACGAGTGAATTAATTGCAGATTTTGTGCTATCAGTACATGCAAATATAAAATGATACATACAAGTGAGAAAATATTTAATTGCACTTGGTGAATTAGAGTAGAGATTCACAATTGATTCAGAGAATCAAGTCGGCGGCGGAAAGAAGGAGTCGCGAGGAAGTTGCAGGGGGAGCCGGTCAAGTCTTAATAAGTCCATTGCTCGTGCGCATAGATGCAGGCATCCTTAAAAGATAAGCCGCGGGTCGGCGCGCGGCTGCTAGCTGCATTAGAAAAATAGACGTATGGGAAAGTCGCGCTCGAGTTGGCGTAAGTGCGCTGGGGTAGCTGTGCGCGCGTACACACCATAAGGTAAGCTAAGCCGGGTATATAGACTATCCGTTGGAGTAGGTGCACCTCCGCCGGCTTTTAATTGCGATTCTCGCTGCACAGCGTGAGTGGAAGCAGCGGAATATAACTCGCCAGCCAGCCCTCTTTCTTCACTTGCTGCGCGGGCCTCGTGTGTAGATTATATAGGAATATAAATACACAGCTCGACGCTCGAAGAAAACCTGGTGGTGGCCCAACACGGCCACGCAAAGAATTTTAATTGCTATATACCCGCGAGCGCAAAGAGAGAACTTTGCCACGCCAAACCTCGAGAAAGGAGCTGGAGGAGGAGAACGAGGAGGAGGCGCACTTTGTGTTAACCCACGCACGCAGCTGCTATCTCACTCGCTCTCTCTCTCTCTCTCTATCTGCGCGCGCGCTCGAGAAACTCCTTCGACTCTCGTGTATATCCGACAAGTTGGTAGCCAATGAAATCATATATCAACTACTACTACTACTGCTGTTCGGCTACCTCGTTCCTTTCCTCGTCCAGCCTAGCCTTTATCAGCTCGTCGAGAAAATGGCGCACGCCACGCGAGCCGACTCGAGCTGCTGCTACTCTCGACCCGACCGCGAGCCAACGTACGCGTCCGATCTCATAAGTTTACCTTTTCTCATTATAGCGCATTGCGCGTCTTTGACCCTTGGCGCTTACTACCGCCGCAGCCACGCGAGATCACCTCCTTCGATTGCCCTCGGCGGCAGCGTAATACCCATTTTACGATACGCCTCAACGCATGCTAATTTTGACCCACATCCAGAGGGCATCAGATTTTGCAGCTATACCATGTGCGAACCATGTGTTTGCTTCGGAGCAAAAAAAAAAATCAAATAGCCCCGCTGCTTCGACGCCTTCGCTCGAGAAAATTACGTCGATGCACCTGCACATTTGCGTACGTGCTTTTACAGGAAGTTTCAGTCTCGAAAAATCTAGGCCATACCTCCGCACCGATCAGATGGAACCCGACTTGTTTGATTTTACGCGCGCACTTTGTTTTTCGCTTCAATTTATATTCGAGTCGTTCAAAATAATGCCGATATGTTTTAAAACGTGAAACTTTTCCAGCAACTGAAATTTTCCCATAAATGTGAAATGTCGTCGACTGTAAATATAATTTTTTTCTTAATTTTGCATTAAATAATAATCAGAAACATATCATTATTTAGTGCCGTCTTATTTACTCGCTGCGAACGAAATAAATCACAATGATACAGGGCGTGAGGGAATATCAGAGAGATACCTGCTGTTGTAGCTCGACGCATTCTGCCACGGCTGTATGAGATGGGTATATGGAAAGCCGAGAGTCTCTCTTTGTTCGTGCTCGAAAAGGCTTGACGAATATTAACTCTCGCATTCGTGCAAGTACTAAATGCATGATGCCTCTTTTCCATTTCGCCTTCTTTCTTCATTCAACTTTAATAAAAATACGTGCCAAGCAAGCACACGTAGTGATGTAAAACGTATTCGGCCTTTATTCGCTCGGCTCAAAGTTGAGCTCTCGAGCCTCAAGAATAGCTTCTAATTACACGGCTGCCTTACACG